CTGACACACAGAGAGAACACCCTCTGTCACAGAGAGAGAACACCCCTCTGTCACAGAGAGAACACCCCTCTGACACACAGAGAGAACACCCTCTGACACAGAGAGAACACCCTCTGACACACAGAGAGAACACCCCTCTGACACAGAGAGAGAACACCCCTCTGTCACAGAGAGAAACCCCTCTGACACACAGAGAGAAACACCCTCTGTCACACAGAGAGAACCCCCTCTGTCACAGAGAGAACACCCCTCTGTCACAGAGAGAACACCCCTCTGACACACAGAGAGAACACCCCTCTGTCACAGAGAGACAGAGAGACACCCCTCTGACACAGAGAGAACACCCCTCTGACACACAGAGAGAAACCCCTCTGACACAGAGAGAAACACCCCTCTGTCACACAGAGAACACCCCTCTGACACAGAGAGAACACCCCTCTGTCACAGAGAGAACACCCTCTGACACACAGAGAGAACACCCCTCTGTCACACAGAGAGAACACCCCTCTGTCACAGAGAGAGACACCCCTCTGACACACAGAGAGAACACCCCTCTGTCACACAGAGAGAACACCCCTGTCACAGAGAAACACCCCTCTGACACAGAGAGAACACCCCTCTGTCACACAGAGAGAACACCCCTCTGTCACACAGAGAGAACACCCCTCTGACACACAGAGAGAACACCCCTCTGACACAGAGAGAACACCCTCTGTCACACAGAGAGAACACCCTCTGTCACAGAGAGAACACCCCTCTGTCACAGAGAGAAACACCCCTCTGACACACAGAGAGAACACCCCTCTGTCACACACAGAGAGAACACCCCTCTGACACAGAGAGAACACCCCTCTGTCACAGAGAGAACACCCTCTGAGACACAGAGAAACACCCCTCTGACACAGAGAGAACACCCCTCTGACACAGAGAGAACACCCTCTGACACAGAGAGAACACCCTCTGTCACAGAGAGAGAACACCCCTCTGTCACACAGAGAGAACACCCCTCTGACACAGAGAGAGAACACCCCTCTGTCACAGAGAGAACACCCCTCTGACACACAGAGAGAACACCCCTCTGTCACAGAGAGAAACACCCCTCTGACACACAGAGAGAACACTCACAGAGAGAAACCCTCTGAGAGAACACCCCTCTGACACAGAGAGAACACCCCTCTGTCACAGAGAGAACACCCCTCTGACACAGAGAGAGAACACCCCTCACCACCCCTTGACACAGAGAGAACACCCCTCTGACACAGAGAGGAACACCCCTGACACAGAGAGAACACCCCTCTGTCACAGAGAGAACACCCTCTCTGACACAGAGAGAACACCCCTCTGTCACAGAGAGAAAACCCCTCTGTCACAGAGAGAACACCCTCTGTCACAGAGAGAACACCCTCTGACACACAGAGAGAACACCCCTCTGTCACAGAGAGAGACACCCTCTGACACAGAGAGAACCCCTCTGACACATCTGACAGAGAGAACACCCCTCTGAGAGAGAGAAACCCCTCTGACACACAGAGAGAACACCCCTCTGACACACAGAGAACACCCCTCTGACACAGAGAGAACACCCCTCTGACACAGAGAGAACACCCCTCACAGAGAGAACACCCCTCTGACACACAGAGAGAACACCCTCTGACACAGAGAGAACACCCCTCTGTCACACAGAGAGAACACCCCTCTGACACAGAGAGAACACCCCTCTGACACAGAGAGAACACCCCTCTGTCACAGAGAGAACACCCTCTGACACAGAGAGAACCCCTCTGTCACACAGAGAGAACACCCCTCTGTCACAGAGAGAAACACCCCTCTGTCACAGAGAGAACACCCCTCTGACACAGAGAGAACACCCCTCTGACACACAGAGAGAACACCCCTCTGACTCTGACACAGAGAGAACACCCCTCTGACACAGAGAGAACACCCCTCTGACACACAGAGAGAACACCCCTCTGACACAGAGAGAACACCCCTCTGTCACACAGAGAGAACACCCCTCTGACACAGAGAGAACACCCCTCTGTCACAGAGAGAACACCCCTCTGACACAGAGAGAACACCCCTCTGTCACACAGAGAGAACACCCCTCTGACACAGAGAGAAACACCCCTCTGACACAGAGAGAACACCCCTCTGACACAGAGAGAACACCCCTCTGACACAGAGAGAACACCCTCTGACACAGAGAGAACACCCCTCTGTCACAGAGAGAACACCCCTCTGTCACAGAGAGAACACCCCTCTGACACAGACACAGAAACACCCCTCTGACACAGGGAGAACACCCTCTGACACAGGGAGAAACCCCTTGACACACACTCATATTCCACTGAGTCTCTGTGTCTTTAGTCCAACACAAACTGAACCACATCAGACACAAGAAACAACTGTTTTTATTTATTTTAAATGTATTTATAGTTTATGTAAATGAACCATGTGGTTTTAGTTCCTGTAAAACAAAAAGAAAAGTGTCAAAGCTGAATTAAACTCATTATTACTCCAGGTTTATTTGACTCGTCCTCGTAGGAAATAAAAAAAACAAACTGAAATGATCCGTCCACATTTACATTTATAAAACACTTTTTATTAAAACACTTTAGTAAAACACTTTAGTAAAACACTTTTGTAAAACACTTTTGTAAAACACTTTAGTAAAACACTTTAGTAAAACACTTTTGTAAAACACTTTTGTAAAACACTTTTATAAAACACTTTTGTAAAACACTTTTGTAAAACACTTTTGTAAAACACTTTTGTAAAACACTTTTGTAAAACACTTTTGTAAAACACTTTTGTAAAACACTTTTGTAAAACACTTTTGTAAAACACTTTTGTAAAACACTTTTATAAAACACTTTTATAAAACACTTTTTATAAAACACTTTTGTAAAACACTTTTGTAAAACACTTTTGTAAAACACTTTTGTAAAACACTTTTGTAAAACACTTTTGTAAAACACTTTTAAAACACTTTTAAAACACTTTTGTAAAACACTTTTAAAACTTTTATAAAACACTTTTGTAAAACACTTTAGTAAAACACTTTTGTAGTAAAACACACTTTTATAAAACACTTTTATAAAACACTTTTATAAACACTTTTTTTTTATAAAACACTTTTATAAAACACTTTTATAAAACACTTTTAAAACACTTTTGTAAAACACTTTTGTAAAAACACTTTTGTAAAACACTTTTATAAAACACACTTTTATAAAACACTTTTGTAAAACACTTTTGTAAAACACTTTAAAACAGTAAAACACTTTTGTAAAAACACTTTTGTAGTAAAAACACTTTTATAAAACACTTTTATAAAAACACTTTTGTAAAACACTTTTATAAAACACTTTAAAACACTTTGTAAAACACTTTTATAAAACACTTTTTAAAAACACTTTTAGTAAAACACTTTTGTAAAACACTTTTGTAAAACACTTTTGTAAAACACTTTAGTAAAACACTTTTGTAAAACACTTTTATAAAACACTTTTATAAAACTTTTGTAAAAACACTTTTGTAAAACACTTTTATAAAACACTTTTGTAAAACACTTTTATAAACACACACACAGAGTCAGAATGGAAAATGAGTCAGAGTTAAATAGAGTCAGAGTTAAATAGAGTCAGAGTTAAATAGAGTCAGAGTTAAATAGAGTCAGAGTTAAATGGAGTCAGAGTTAAATGGAGTCAGAGTTAAATAGAGTCAGAGTTAAATAGAGTCAGAGTTAAATATTGCATAAATGAGCTGGTGGGTGCGGTGGAGCTGATCTGTTGTTCTGTTGTTTGCTGTAGGAGCGGCGTTGGCGTTGGCGCTGTGTGTTCATGTTGTGTGTTCATGTTGTGTGTTCATGTTGTGTGTTCATGTTGTGTGTTCATGTTGTGTGTTGTGTGTGTTCATGTGTGTTCATGTTGTGTTCATGTTGTGTGTTCATGTTGTGTGTGTGTTCATGTTGTTGTCATGTTGTGTGTTGTGTGTCATGTTGTGTGTTGTGTGTTCATGTTGTGACCGTGGCCTTTTATCTTACTGTATTTTTGCTGATGTTGTGTGTGGGTGTGAGCAGTGTGGTACATTGTGTTGTTGTGGTGTGTGTGTGTGAGGTGTGGTACATTGTGTTGTTGTGTGTTGTTGGTGTGAGCAGTGTGGTACATTGTGTTGTTGTGTGTGTTGGTGTGAGCAGTGTGGTACATTGTGTTGTTGTGTTGTTGGTGTGAGCAGTGTGGTACATTGTGTTGTTGTGTGTTGTTGGTGTGTGTTGTGTGTGTAGCATGTGTGTTGTGTGTTGTTGGTGTGAGCAGTGTGGTACGTTGTGTTGTTGTGTTGTTGGTGTGAGCAGTGTGGTACGTTGTGTTGTTGTGTTTGGTTGTGTGTTGTGCTCTGATATATTTCAGCCAATAGGAACCAAAACGTTTGTTTGTGTTGTTTGTTATAATAATTTATTCCTTATTTAATACAGATTTTATTTATTATATGTTTATCATTTTGGCCTTGGTGCCTCCAAAAAAATTATACCACCAGCCACTACTGGTCCTGGTTTAGTCCTGGTTTAGACCTGGTTTAGTCCTGGTTTAGACCTGGTTTAGTCCTGGTTTAGACCTGGTTTAGACCTGGTTTAGTCCTGGTTTAGTCCTGGTTTAGACCTGGTTTAGACCTGGTTTAGTTCTAATTTAGACCTGGTTTAGTTCTAATTTAGACCTGGTTTAGTCCTGGTTTAGACCTGGTTTAGACCTGGTTTAGTCCTGGTTTAGACCTGGTTTAGTTCTAATTTAGACCTGGTTTAGTCCTGGTTTAGTTTAGTCCTGGTTTAGTCCTGGTTTAGACCTGGTTTAGTCCTGGTTTAGACCTGGTTTAGTCCTGGTTTAGTCTGGTTTAGTCCTGGTTTAGTCCTGGTTTAGACCTGGTTTAGTCCTGGTTTAGTCCTGGTTTAGTCCTGGTTTAGTCCTGGTCTAGTCCTGGTTTAAAGCCTGTGTTCTGTTCTTCAGACATGGATCATTCGAGTATGGACCACACTGGTCACGTCCATCGCGCTGCGACGCTGACGCCCACACTCACCACACACGACGGACACGGAGGAACCACCGACGGAACCAGCGGAGGACACGAGGGCCACATGGGCATGGTACAGTACGAGGAGGAGAGGGTTAAAGGGTCAGAGGGTTAAAGGGTCTGAAGGTCAGAGGGTTAAAGGGTCAGAAGGGTTAAAGGGTCAGAGGTCAGAGGGTTAAAGGGTCTGAAGGTCAGAGGGTTAAAGGGTCAGAGGGTCAAAGAGGGTCAGAGGGTTAAAGGGTTAAAGGTGTAACTGTGTTTGTTCTTCAGGTCATGACGTTTTATTTCGGGTATCAGAATGTGGAGCTGCTGTTTTCTGGTCTGATCATCAACTCTGCTGGAGGTGAAAACACACAACACACACACACACACACACACACACACACACACACACACACACACACACACACACACACACAACACACACACACACACACACACACACACACACACACACACACACACACACACACACACACACACACACACACACACACACACACACACACACACACACACACACACACACACACACAACACACACACACACACACACACACACACACACACACAACACACACACACACACACACACACACACACACACACACACACACACACACACACACACACACACACACACACACACACACACACACACACACACACACACACACACACACACACACACACACACACACACACACACACACACACACACACACACACACACACACACACACACACACACACACACACACACACACACACACACACACACACACACACACACACACACACACACACACACACACACACACACACACACACACACACACACACACACACACACACACACACACACACACACACACAACACACACACACACACACACACACACACACACACACACACACACACACACACACACACACACACACACACACACACACACACACACACACACACACACACACACACACACACACACACACACACACACACACACACACACACACACACACACACAACACACACACACACACACACACACACACACACACACACACACACACACACACACACACACACACACACACACACACACACACACACACACACACACACACAACACACACACACACACACACACACACACACACACACACACACACACACACACACACACACACACACACACACACACACACACACACACACACACACACACACACACACACACACACACACACACACACACACACACACACACACACACACACACACACACACACACACACACACACACACACACACACACACACACACACACACACACACACACACACACACACACACACACACACACACACACACACACACACACAACACACACACACACACACACACAACACACACACACACACACACACACACACACACACACACACACACACACACACACACACACACACACACACACACACACACACACACACACACACACACACACACACACACACACACACACACACACACACACACACACACACACACACACACACACACACACACACACACACACACACACACACACACACACACACACACACACACACACACACACACACACACACACACACACACACACACACACACACACACACACACACACACACACACACACACACACACACACACACACACACACACACACACACACACACACACACACACACACACACACACACACACACACACACACACACAACACACACACACACACACACACACACACACACACACACACACACACACACACACACAACACACACACACACACACACACACACACACACACACACACACACACACACACACACACACACACACACACAACACACACACACACACACACACACACACACACACACACACACACACACACACACACACACACACACACACACACACACACACACACACACACACACACACACACACACACACACACACACACACACACACACACACACACACACACACACACACACACACACACACACACACACACACACACACACACACACACACACACACACACACAACACACACACACACACACACACACACACACACACACAACACACACACACACACACACACACACACACACACACACACACACACACACACACACACACACACACACACACACACACAACACACACACACACACACACACACACACACACACACACACACACACACACACACACAACACACACACACACACACACACACACACACACACACACACACACACACACACACACACACACACACACACACACACACACACACACACACACACACAACACACACAACACACACACACACACACAACACACACACACACACACACAGTTTAAGGTCCCGTCAGGTGATGTGTGTTGTGGTTTTGAGGAGACATTAACCCCGCCCCTCTGCTCCTCTGGACCAATCAGAGATGGTTCTGGCGTGTCTGGGCGTGTTCCTATTGGCCGCTCTGTACGAGGGGCTGAAGATCGGACGAGAGGTTCTGCTGCGGCGGAACCAAGTCAACGTGCGCTACAACTCCATGCCCGTGCCCGGAAACGACGGAACCGTGCTCATGGAGACGCACAAGACCGTCGGGTGAGGACCGGACCGAGACCGAGACCGGGGACGGGACCCAGACCAGGACCCAGACCAGACCCAGACCCAGACCAGACAGAGACAGAGACCAGACCGGAAACGACGGAACCGTGCTCATGGACAAGACCATTGGGTATGAACTGGGCCAGGACCAGGACCAGGACCAGACCCAGACTGAGACCAGGGAGAGCGAGAGAGGAGTGGCTGTACTCTCTGTTTATCTCTCCATCTTTTTTCTTTTCTTTTCTCTCTCAGACAGAGGATGCTGAGCCCCGCCCACTTCCTACAGACGCTGCTGCACATCCTCCAGGTAAACAACACACTCGATACTCGATACTCGATACTCGATACTCGATACTCGATACTGTGATGATAATCTCTGAGTTTATCTCAGTGATTCTGAACTACAGAGCTCCACCTGGAGGACGGCAGAAACGTGAGTCGTCCTCAGTCTTAGTCTAGTTTCTTGGTCTTAGTCCAGGTCCTCGGTCTTGGTCCAGGTCCTCGGTCTTGGTCCAGGTCCTCGGTCTTAGTCCAGGTCCTCGGTCTTGGTCCAGGTCCTCGGTCTTGGTCCAGGTCCTGGTCCAGGTCCTCGGGCTTGGTCCAGGTCCTCGGTCTTAGTCCAGGTCCTTGGTCTTAGTCCAGGTCCTCGGTCTCCTCGGTCCAGGTCCTCGGTCTTAGTCCAGGTCTTGGTCCAGTTCCTCGGTCTTGTCCAGGTCCAGTTCTCGGTCTTGGTCCAGGTCCTCGGTCTTGGTCCAGGTCCGGTCTTGGTCCAGGTCCTCCAGGTCCTCGGTCTTGGTCCAGGTCTTGGTCCAGGTCCTCGGTCTTCCAGGTCTTAGTCCAGGTCTTGGTCTTGGTCCAGTCCTCGGTCTTGGTCCAGGTCCTCGGTCTGGTCCAGGTCCTCGGGTCCAGGTCTCGGGTCCAGGTCCTCGGTCTTGGTCCAGGTCCTCGGTCTTGGTCCAGACTGTGACCTTTGTCAGTTTAGAGTCTAAACTTTAAAGTTCTGGATGAACAAACCAAGAAACAAACGGATTCTTTCTTTCTCAGCCGAGCGTCTGAACAAAAACCAAAGAGTCTGTGACGTTTGTAGAAAAAGTCCTGAGACTGAAGTGGAGAGAAAAGGGAAAGAAAACAGGAAACTCAAGCAGCGACTTATTTTTACTTTTATTTTTTCAGAAATTAAGAAAAAATTTGCCCAATGCACAAATGTTCTTTCTTTTCTCTGAACAGTTGAACAGTGCAGCCGTGAAGGTTCAAAAACATTTAGTTGAAATGTTTTGAAACTGATATTTTCATTGATCTGACTCTTTATTTGTTCATTTATTCAGACTTTGATAAAACGAGGATGTTTCTGTTTCACGATCAGAATGTCCGATCCTCAGTATCGTTTCTCTGATCCTCCATATTGTCTGTATCATTGGTATCGTGGGTATCGTTGGTATCAGTATCAGTATCGGTATCGTGTGTGTGGTTTCAGGTGGTCCTCAGTTACGTTCTCATGCTCGTCTTCATGACGTACAACGGCTTCCTGTGCATCGCCGTGGCGCTGGGCGCGGGCGCCGGGTACTTCCTGTTCAGCTGGAAAAAGGCCATCGTGGTCGACATCACGGAGCACTGCCACTGACGCACCTGCCGCCGACGCACCTGCCGCCGACGCACCTGCCGCCGACGCACCTGCCGCCGACGCACCTGCCGCCGACGCACCTGCCGCCGACGCACCTGCCGCCAGAGCACCTGTCTCCAGAGCACCTGCTGCCACCAGTCCTTCTGCTGAAATGATCCTCTCCTGTAGCTCCAGCAGGGGGCGCACTGCACACCCACCAGGCCACTTTGTTAGGGACAGCACAGTGCCTTTAGTCCTGGTTTAGACCTGGTTTAGTCCTGGTTTAGTCCTGGTTTAGTCCTGGTTTAGTCCTGGTTTAGTCCTGGTTTAGTCCTGGTTTAGTCCTGGTTTAGTCCTGGTTTAGACCTGGTTTAGACCTGGTTTAGTCCTGGTTTAGTCCTGGTTTAGACCTGGTTTAGTCCTGGTTTAGTCCTGGTTTAGACCTGGTTTAGACCTGGTTTAGTCCTGGTTTAGTCCTGGTTTAGTCCTGGTTTAGACCTGGTTTAGTCCTGGTTTAGTCCTGGTTTAGACCTGGTTTAGACCTGGTTTTAGTCCTGGTTTAGTCCTGGTTTAGTCCTGGTTTAGTCCTGGTTTAGTCCTGGTTTAGTCCTGTTCCTAATATTGTGGCCGTGTTGTGGTGCGTCAGAAAACTCCACGTTCAGTTTGACTTTTCCCCGACGGCTCACGGCTCCGTCCTGCGGCGTCCACACGCGGGACACTCCCACCACGTCTCCCAGGACCAATCAGGCGCCTTCTTCCCCTGGAACAGCCTCTCTCCTGATTGGCTCTTTGGTTGCTATGATACAGAATTCCAAATCCAGAACCGGGCTCTGCTGGCCTCGATGAGCTTCATTTGGAGTCTGATTCTTTCCAGGGTCTGAGCTCTCGACCCGAACGACACTCAACACGTTTACACCAGAGCTTTAACTCTGAAGAAAAATGAATTCCACTTTAGAAACACCAAATAAGACCTGGTCTAGTCCTGGTTCAGTCCTGGTTTAGATCTGGTTTAGTCCTGGTTTAGTCTGGTTCAGTCTGGTTTAGATCTGGTTCAGTCCTGGTTTAGTCTGGTTCAGTGGTTTAGATCTGGTTCAGTCCTGGTTTAGACCTGGTTTAGACCTGGTTTAGTCCTGGTTTAGTTCTGGTTTAGTCCTGGTTTAGTTAAAACCAACAATTTTCTTCATTTTTTGTCTCCAAAACCAAAATGAAAAAACTGATAATGATTTGTTTTTTCAGTTTTAGATTTTGTGTTTAAATGAAAAATGGAAAAAAACGGGTAATGACTGTTTACATGATTTAAACTGAGACCAGGACTAAACCAGGACTAAACCAGGACTAAACCAGGACTAACCAGGACTAACCAGGACTAAACCCAGGACTAAACCAGGACTAAACCAGGACTAAACCAGGACTAAACCAGGACTGAACCAGGACTGAACTCGTCTCAGTCCTGGTTCAGTCCTGGTTCAGTCCTGGTCTCAGTTTAAATCACGTACACGGGAAACAAAATTGAAAACTGAAAAAAATGAACGGTTCTGTTTTTGAATCTGAATCTGTCGTTTTCTTATTTTTGGTTTTATTTTGAAAAACAAACGAACGACAAACGAAGACGAGAGAAAAGTCGGAGCAGCTCAAGTTTGTGTTTAAATCTGTCGGCGTCTCCGACCAATCAGAACCTCCCCCCCGACGCTCACACACGAAATAAAAAACATTTCACAGTTTAACTCGAAATAACAAGAAAATATCATTATTATTATTATTATTATTATTATTATTATTATTATTATTATTATTATTACATTGAAACTCCAACGACAAGATGTGAATTCAGAATTAAACTTTGATGTAAACGTGTTTGTGTCTGAGCTCTTTGTTTATAAAAGTGCCTTGGGGCGTCTCTATATGAGCACACACACGTTTACACCTGATGCCCTCCCTCAGACGCTGAAGCTCATCGCCGCCGCCGCCGCGCCGCCGCCGCCGCCGCCGCCGCCGCCGCCGCCGCTGCTCCAGCAGCTCAAACTGAACGTGGAGTCGTCTGTCCCTCTGTTCCTGTGTAAAAAAAAAGACACTTGACCATAAAAGGACACGAACCTCACCCGCCGGCCAATCAGAGCCCCGCCCTCTCCTCCGAAGGCGTCTGATTGGCCGACGGCGCCGTGACGCTGTGTTTATACTCACAGCAGCCAATCAGAAAACAGGATTTATCACTGTTTAAGTCCAGTTGTTTATTAGATTTAGAAGCTGACTCTGTTTATGTTTGGGATCTGAAGTTTAGACCTGGTTTAGTCCTGGTTTAGTCCTGGTTTAGACCTGGTTTAGTCCTGGTTTAGACCTGGTTTAGTCCTGGTTTAGTCCTGGTTTAGTCCTGGTTTAGTCCTGGTTTAGACCTGGTTTAGTCCTGGTTTAGTCCTGGTTTAGTCCTGGTTTAGTCCTGGTTTAGACCTGGTTTAGACCTGGTTTAGACCTGGTTTAGTCCTGGTTTAGTCCTGGTTTAGTCCTGGTTTAGACCTGGTTTAGTCCTGGTTTAGTCCTGGTTTAGTCCTGGTTTAGTCCTGGTTTAGTCCTGGTTTAGACCTGGTTTAGTCCTGGTTTAGTCCTGGTTTAGTCCTGGTCCAGACTTCATGTTGTTCAGACTAAACGGTTTTGTTGTTCTTTGATTTAGAAATATTATTCTCAGATTTTTATTTTGTAGATTTTGTTTTGGATCAAATTGTTCAGATTTTTTTTTTTTTTATGAGAATTTGTTTGTGTCGTTTACATTTGAGATTTTGGTTTTCACTTCTGTCCAGATTCCACGAACGCTGCGCTCGCGTGACCTCGGAAACACAGAGACCGCCGCGTTCGCCGCGCGTTCGCCGCCGCGTTCGCCGCCGCGTTCGCCGCGCCGTTCGCCGCCGCGTTCGCCGCCGCGTTCGCCGCCGCGTTCGCTTTTACGAGGACGTTCACCAGAATCTTAAAAAATTAGTTTTTCTTTGTAAATTGAGAATAAACAGATTATTTTGATTATTTTATTGTTTAAGTCTTTTCAAAGTTTTCTTGGCGAGTTTTTGATGATCACGTCTAAAGCTGAAACGTAAAAGCGTCAGAGCAAAATCAAACCTTTCTGTGTCACAGCGCCGCCGCCACCGCCGCCGCCGCCGCCGCCGTCCGCCGTCGTCAGACTCACGCTCACTGAACTCTGCTCCTTCTGCACCAGTTTACGAGTCAAAATTCCAACCAAATTTTTTCACTCCCGTTTTTCCAAGTTTCCGAGGTCACATGATCGCAGCGTCGGCCCGCCACAGACCCCCACGCCATCGCCACGCCATCGCCACGCCATCGCCACGCCATCGCCATCGCCACGCCCACATCACACTGATTCACACTACACACACACACGTTCCTCCGCCCTCAACGCAGCTGGACACGCCTCTTTCACCAAATATGGACACGCCTTATCCAATCAGAGCGCACGCCTAAACGCCACAGCCTCTGATGGGGACACACGGTGCTTCTACCTCGGACCTTAAGTCGGGCGACGTCGTTTCTTCTTCTTCTTCTTCTTCTTCTTCTTCTTGAGCTGCTGTTTAGTTTAGTTTTTCTGAGGGAGGAACAGAAACGCTGCTGTGGAAACTCCGCCTCTTCACTTGAAATGATTTATATTTGATTTAAAAAGAAGGAAAAGTGTTTTTATTGGGCGGAGCTGGGGGGGGGCGGGGTCTGGGCTGTGTTTGGACCAATCAGAGACGGGGACAGGTTACTGTTTGTTTATGATGAAGGAAATTGTCTAAATTGTCTAAATGTTTAAAATACGTGTCTGAAAATGTTTGATTTGTGTAAAAAATCATGAGAAAGTGTTAATAAACGTGATTCTATCTGCAGAACGACGCGACTCTGACGATGTTTTATTAGAGATTAAAGAAAAAACAAAATCACTGAGACGTTTAACAGGAAAAACTTGTGGTTGGTACAAAACGGTGACGTGGCGTAAACTAATGTCATTTAACCAGGTGACTGACAGATCTGATATTCCAAGAAAAGACTTTTACCAATATCTACAGGTGAGGGATTTTGTTAGGAAAAATACTGCACATCCAGTCTTTGGAGAAATATCGGACGTGGAAAGACAGATCTTCTTACAAAGTCAACTGCTTCCATTCAAATATTTTACAATATCCTTTAAAGGTCGTATGGAGGATTATTTTAGTTTGTTTCAAATTGTCAGTGAAAGTTTAAAATACCGTTACAGAGACGCAGCAGCTTTGTGATTATAATGACAAAAAAAAAAGAAAATCGATCAACTGTGGACGTGTTGAGGCCAGATAAACATCAGCCAATAGAAAACGAGGCTGCCTCATTTTCTATTGGCTGTCAGGTCGTCAATCAAACTCCCTACGTTTCTAAGGTAACTATGCAGCGGGTCTTAGAGGTTTTTTCTAATCGTGGCTCTCGCAGTTCACACAAAGTTTGTCGCGACGTCGGACGAGAATCGACGACCAGTTCGCCGCAAAAGAAAGTCGTTTTTTTTTTTTTTTTTTGAGGTCACCGAAAGACGAAGAGAAGGAGAAAAGGAGCGAAGACGAACTGAGGTGATTCTTGGAGATTCCTTCCAGCGACGGCGCGACTGAAGCGGACGAAGGGTGTAAAAACGGAGGCGTCGGTCTCTAGATGATTTCTCGAGGGACGTGTGGAGGAGGAAGGTGGAGTCAAGGACTGTCGCTGGATTTCTCTTTCCTTCAAAAAATCCTCTATACGAACTTTAAGCCTCCTTCATTTCCAGGAAACAAACGTCGCCAGATTTTGTCGTTTGCCAAACCCGTAATCGCGTCATTCAGAGCGAAGGACCAGCGCCCGAACCAGCGGACTGATACAGGAAGTGCTCCGTGGATTTGACGCCTGATTCGAAACATAAGAGCTCAAGAAACACAACGGATTCTCCCGAAACATTCTGTGGTTTTGGTTATTGTGACTTTGGTACATTCTATTTTATTTATTTATTTATTTATTTATTTATTTATTTATTTATTTACTGCGATGGAGCTGCAAGAAAAACTATATTTTCCCAGTTTGGAAACATTTTGAGCTGAAATCTCCAAATAAAGTTTATAATAAAAATGAGGTCATTAAATAAAGAATATGATTAAATACAAACGTTTGACGGCTCAGTGT